GGAGTGTCTGCAGCCCTTGGCCCAAGCTGGGAGAGGGGCAGGGAAGAGATCAGCTCACCTGGCAGTTGGGTATCTTGTGCTGCGATCACTGTGGCTTCCTAGTGCTGACACACTGGTTGCTTGGGGCAGTGGCTCATGGCCTGTTCTGGGACATCAAGTGTTGACGGGAGCTGTAGAAAGGCACAGCCTGAGTGAGTTGCAGGTTTTTTTGTTGTTGTCTGGACACTTCTAAATTCTTAAGCCAAGAGATCAGCTCACCTGGCAGTTGGGTATCTTGTGCTGCGATCACTGTGGCTTCCTAGTGCTGACACACTGGTTGCTTGGGGCAGTGGCTCATGGCCTGTTCTGGGACATCAAGTGTTGACGGGAGCTGTAGAAAGGCACAGCCTGAGTGAGTTGCAGGTTTTTTTGTTGTTGTCTGGACACTTCTAAATTCTTAAGCCTGTTGACAGGTCTGTTTCCAAGGTGGGTCCCAGTCTGTCTCTGCCTGCCCTCTGTGTTCCCGAACGCTTGTGTCAGCCCTGCTGAGCTCTCCAGCGACTCTGGGGTGTAGCTGCTCTGATACTGGCTCTGAATCTCGCAAGTGTTTTGGTGCAAAGCTTCCCAGCTCCTACCGATTCCCCAAGCCGGATGGGAGGTCGTGCTTAAGTGAGAGGCTTCCTTGGAATGGGGGTCTCGGGGCTGCAGTGCTTCTCCTGCCGTCAGGCTCCTGTCCAGCCAATGTCTTGGCCTCAATAAGGAATTGCTGTTACGAGCTTATGGACGCTGTTAGGCCTGTGTGCTCGTGTGGTAAAACACGTTTGGGCTTCCTGTCAAAAGCATATTGCTAAATGCTGTGGTGTGTGTCTTCAGCAGCTCAGTCCAGGCAGCAGCTGAAGCCCCTTCCAATCTTGACACGCCAAGGATGGAGTGAGTGTTAGTAACAGCTGTGTTAGGGTAAAACAGAGCCCACTTGAGCTGAAACTGCACTTAAACTCCTAAACAACACCTGTACTAACACCACATTTCTGGGCCCGTGTTTCTTTTTTTAAGAGGTTAACAGAACAGCCTGGGCCTGTTCCCAACCTGAGCCAGGCTGCTAAAGCTGGGCCAACTGAAAAAGCAGTGGGAAGCACCTTGAAAAGCCAGGCCTCAGAAAGTGGGAGCAGTGACTCGTCTGACAGTGAAGAGGAGTCCCCTGCGGCACAGACACAGACTCCACAAGCTGGTAAGTCTCCTGGTGATGGCCAGGATCCCTCACCTGCAACCTCCTGGGTTTCCTTCTCACCCCTGCACATGAAATGGCCCAGCCTGTTGTGATAGCTCTTGCTCCTGTCACCTGATGGTGACATCTTTTATGCTTTTCCTGCAGTGAAAAACAACGCTGTGCCCCAGCCAACAAACGTGAAGAAGGCACCGGCGCCAGCCCCTCCACCTGTGGACAGCAGCGATGATTCCAGCGAGGAGTCAGATTCAGAGGAGGAAATAGTCCCCCCTTCTCAGGTAAGGAGCTGCTGATAAGCTGGGTGTGGGTGCTGTTAGTCCTGCACTCTCAGGAGGTCTCAGGGCTTGCGAGGTGGTGGGTGGGTGGGTAACGAGCGGTGCAGAGAGGAGCCCTCCCGTTGGCCGGATCAGGTTTTCTTTGGCAGCAGTCCCTGGGTCTCGCTGACCCCGGCTCTGGGAGCATGCCTCAACCACAGCAAGCTTGCAGTGTGTGTGAGAGCAGCGGAGGGTGTGAATGTTTTGGCAGGAACACAGATGCACGAGCCCAGACCTCCTCTGGGACTCCGTCCCCTTTGCCCTACTCCAGGGAGTTAGACTGGAAAAGCAGCCAAATCTTTGCAGGCAGGGTCTTTTCATGAGCTGGCTAGCTCCAAGGCAACCTGTCCCCTGGTTCCTCCCAAACCCCTGGGTGTGGGGTGATGTTAGAGCTCTCTGGACTCCCCCTCCACAACCCTTGGGAGGCTGGAAGGATCTGCCCTGCAGGGTATCACCGTGGTCCTGCTGCCTTTCAGCTGGAGGAGCCAGACCCCTGCCTTGGAGAAGGGAAGTGACCCCATATCTCTGCCAAGTGTCATGGACCCAATCCCAGCGCTCTCACCTGAGTCTCTTCAGGTCATGTCTCCATGCCAGTCCCGCAGGGCCGTGGCTGAGCTCCCTAGGGCCTGTGCTGCCTTGGTGTGAAGCTGTCTTGGGTGTCTCTGCACTTCTGCTGCAGTTTGAGCCCAAGAACAAAACCACATGAAGAAGCATTGACTGAGGGATGTGGCTACTGTTCTGTTCCTACGTGATGGTGGCTTGGCTGGTGCTCTGAGCCCAGGGCTTAGTGGCCAAGTGTGTTTCTTGTCCCACACATACGTGTCCCCAGTCTGGCCAGCACTCTTGCTGGGAATGGGGGATTATGTGCAGCTAAGGAAACCCTTCCCTGTGTTGGCCTGATGCTGTGGCCAGTGGAAAGGCTGTCTCCCCGCAGCTGGTGGGCAGGCAGCCAGCCTGAGCAGTCCTTGATTAAAGTGTGTTTATGGTACCAAGATTGTATAAAATAATGCAGTTGCTGTAACTTGAGCTTTGTGCAAGACGGCCGAGAGCTCACGTCGGATTGGCGGCTCTCTGCGTGGTGGAGCGTTGCCTTCCTTTCTGAAGGCCAGATGTTGTGTGAGGGAAATGTCAGCCCACAAAGGCCCAGCTTGTCAGAGATGGGGAGAGGGAGGGCTGCTCACGTAGCCTCGTTTGTAACACACACCAGGAGGCTGAACGCTCCTTCGTAGCTCCTGCTTCCTCCTCTGCTGGCATTTCTGTCTTGGACCTGATGTCAGTGTCTGATTTCCATGCCCCTGGCCCTTCTATTTTTAACCCCTCTTACGTTTTACTTCGATGAGAGGTTTCAAATGTGAGGCAACAAAATTGCTTCTTGTTAATTTGCCCTCTAATCTGTGGCTTGCTTGTGGACCTGAAGACAGATTTGCCCTGTGGTCGGTGTCTTTGCTTTATCTCTGTTGCCAATTAACTCTCAATATGTGATTATTTTTTTTTTAGAGTGTGGGAGACATCCTGCAGTCCAAGTGCCTGCTTTGCGAAGTAGAGTTTGCCACTGCAGTCTTGCTCGTGCTGCAGTGGGTAGGAACCTGACAGCCTGCAAGCACATCACATTTTGCCTGCCTGCCCTCAGGATGGGTGCCTTTGGGGCACTGAGCTAATGCTTTAGGCACTCCCAGGGTGCTGGCCCTCACTTCTCTGCTGCTGGCTGTGCCAGAGGCCCTGCTCAGAGGCTCACAGGAGACAGAGCTGGCCTGTAAAGGGGGGGGAGGAGAGAAAAAAAAAAAAAAAGCCTTGGTACTGTGCTGAAAATGATGGAAGGGCTCAGGAGTTAGTGGTGGATTGGTGTATGCTTCTGTCTCTTTTTTTGCCTCCAAGTTGTGCTCTGTCCTGATTTTCTTTCTCCTCTATTTTAGAGTCTGTCCCAGCAGAACGTCAAAGCAACCAAGGTTTTGAGTGCGGTGGCTGCCAAGGCTAATGCCACGCTGCCTTTGGGGAAGGGGGTCAAAGGCCCTGCTGTCCCTCCAGCGAGCAGAGTGTCTGAGAGCTCGAGCAGCGATTCCTCAGACCAGGATGTGCTGGCGGGAGAGGTAATGATGGAGGAGACTGAAGTGGGGAGCTTCCCTGGGGAGAGTGGGCAGATGGGTCAGCTGGAGTCTGGGGCTGGCCGTGGCCCCAGCTGAGGGAGAGTGTTCATGAAGCAGGGAAGAGGGGAGCTGCTCTATTTTAACCACTGTTACCACACCCTACGGTGAGGCAGATGAGCAGAGGGTAGCCGTGGTACCTTTGCTGTTCCTGCCTCCTGGCTGGCTGGCTGGATTCTTCCTCCTTTTGTCGTAGCAGTACCCCGTACAGTCAGGAGTTGTCTGCTTGGCCACAGCTGCCTGCTTCATCGTGTGGAGATGGAGTCTCTGTGCCCTGCATGAGAGGTTCTTGGGCTAACCTGGACACACACTGGAGCAGTGTGGCTGAAGAAGGGCCGAGGTGGTCCAAGCCCATCTGCTGTGGGCTGCTGCTTATAGTTCATAGGCATGAGCAGTTATTCCTCTTTCCAGATGCATTTTGTCTTCCTCTCTGTAGGCCCGCAGTCCTTGTCTAAAGCAAACGGTTCCTGTGGGAAAAGCTCCTCCAGCCAACCCTGCCACCCCGCAAGCTCCTTCACTCCTCGGAAGTCCTGCTGCCAAGTTGAAGAAGCCAGGCCTGAAGCCATCACAGGACACCCGCCCGAGCCAGGCTGCACCACCCGCCCAGGCAGAGGAGACCTCAGACAGTAGCGGTTCTTCAGACAGCGACGAGAAGGAGACACCCAAGCAGCCCCCCAAACCTGGTCAGTTCTCCTGAGAAGATGCTCTCAGTGCTGCTGGCCAGGCCAGGGTGGGGACAGCGTTTTGTTACCCGGTGGGAGGTCTGTCACCTTCACGTAGTGGTTGTAGAGGGGTTTCTCCTCTCCAGCTTGGCAGACTCCCCCACCCCTTTCCTGGGAGGCAGAAGGCCTTTTGGTGGCAGTAACTGTGCTGGGTAGGTGAGCTCAGCCCCAGGCAGCGGTGGTGGGTCTAATGGGTTGAACTCTGCTCCTCCAGCAGGCTCGCTGCAGAAACCAGGGGGGACCCAGCCGGCCCATAGCTCCTCCTCGGAGTCCAGTGAGGAGGAGGAAGAGGCATCGTCGCAGGTATGGTACCTGAGCAGGCTGGGATCCTCTCTGGCTCCTAAGTAGGACAGAGAGAGGACAGAATTCTCAGCCGTAGCAAATGGGGTGCTGAGTGGGTTTGCCAGCACAGAAGTGGGGCTCCCCAGTGCAGTGCTGTGAGCAGGGCCTTTTGGTGGGGGCAGAGAGAGGCTTTCAAACCAGGAATGCTTCCCAAGGCAGCCGGGCCTTGGGTCCCAGGGCTCATGCTGCCTTCCCGAGGAGAAGGGATGGGAGGAGGTGGTGCTTTGCAAGGGTTAAACCAGGAGAACCAGTGCCCAGCGCCAATAGCAGCAAGATTTTTTTCCCCCTACTTTTATTTGTAACTTAACCCGTGTCCAAGCCATTAAATTCCCTTTGTAAGTAACGTGCAGGGCGTGCATCACATCTGCAGTGCATTAGCTGTGCGTGGGTGCGTGCTAATGGCCAGGAGCCTCCCCCAAGCCTGCTTTGCTGGGCAGGAACAAAGAGGAGAACCTCTCGCTGTCAGTTCTCGCTGCTGTCAGCTCAGCCAGTGTCCGTCAGCGCTGGCCCCCTCTCCTGGCAGCCCTGGCCTCTGCGGGGCTGGCTGAGCCGTGCAGGATCGTTCTGTGGGTGGCCAGAGGTGGGGCCTTCACTTGGAGTAGGGGGGCGATAGCAGCAGAGACAGATCTGCGTGTCTGGTTGGTGGGAGACTGCCCTGCCGTGACTCCTCAGCGTGTCTGTGCTGTTTCAGTCCCTCCTTACAGGTTATTTGGGCCTCTCCAGGGCTCCAGCAGCACCCCAGGCACCAAAGACGGTTCCCCCCCAGCCTGCAGGCAAAGTGGGCCAAGGCAAAGCAGCCGTGACTGCTGCGAACTCCCTCGCCAAGGCCTCGGTGAAAGCAGCCCCAGCTGACAGCTCCAGCAGTGACAGCAGCGACTCCGACGCAGCCCAGGTGGCTGCAAACCACAAAGCAGGTGGGTCTCCTGTGGCCAGGTCGGGAATCTGCTTGGCCCAGGAGCAAACCAGTGCTGGCACAGGGGGAGGGTGAGGCTGGGACGGGGCCCTGTTCCCGGCGTGTCCCCACCGCAGAGGCCAGGAGTGTGGAGTTGTGCTGCCGTCTGCTGGCTTCCCCTGGCCACGGCACAGCCCTCTCCTCCAGCGCCCCTCTGGCGCTGGCTGGCGAGGCCGTGCGCTTTGGGCCTTTGCCTCTGCCAAGTTCTGCTTGAACTGCAGTAATTAATGCAATTAATGGGGTCAGGTAGGGCTGTCCCTGAAACTGGTGCACACTGCATTGATGTGCTGTGGTAGTGATGGCTTCTAGGGAAGGTTTAAACACTGGCTGAAGAACATCTGCTATACAGTGCTGGTATTCAAGCCTCCCCTTGGTCTTTCTGGGCTCTGTAGCATGGCTGGAGGGCAGAGGAGGAGGAAGCAAGTGGGAAGAACTGTGGAGAAACAAAATGTCCTGCCTTTTCCTGTTGCCCTGGCTTGTTGGCCCGTTGGAGCTGGAAGCTGCTTCTGCTCTGGTGTGACCCTGGCAGCTTCAGATGAGCTCTGGTCTGGCTGTGAGCTCTGGCCCGCTCTGGAGGCCCAAATGGGTCTGTTGGCCTCTTGGGCACATCATTAAGTTGTGTGCAAAGGGCTGTTGAGGAGGTCAGAACTATATGTGGGTTCAAGAAGGCCTAGGTGCTGAGGGATGGGCCATTGGTGATGGTTAAACATGGTGGTGTGGATACTCCCTCCGCCTTGGGAAGTCCTTGACGTACTGGGGGTGGTGTCCAGGGGAAGGACTGATCCATCTATGTTCACCCATCCTGTGCTACAGTTTCCTCTAGTCCAACAACCGAAGCTTCTGTGGCTGTTGTCACCCGCTTCCCTTGCCAGGTACTTGATCTCAGGCTGAGGCATCTTTCTCTGGCTCTGCTGTAGTTGGGATGGCCAGCAGGTTTTGCTTTTGAGGGGACAACTGGATGCTCCTCTTCAAATGCCTGTTTCCATCCTCCAGTAACTCTGTGTCTATGTAATGAATGGTCCCTGAATTGTCTTCTCTCTCTTGTCACTGTTGCTGCAGAAAACAACCCCCCTCCAGGGCAGGAAGCCACAGGAGCCTCCGACAAAGAGAAGGTGTCAGGAAAAACAGAGCCAGGTCACGCCAGCCTCAAACCTTCCTCACTCAAGAAAACTGTGGCCACGAAAGAGAACGATGTTGGGGCAAAAGAGGCAAAAGTGACGCCAGCGTCGCAGGCGCTGTTCTCCATCCCACAGCCAGAGGAGCCGAGCTCGGGGAGCGAAACAGAGGTCACCACTGCTCCCAAAGCTCCTGCAGCGCAAACACTGGAAGGGTTGGAAGTGAAGAAGAAGAAGAAAAAGGAAAAAAAAGAGAAGAAGGAAAAGAAGAAGCCTTCCTCCACGACAGACAAGGCTGTGAAAACATCTAAGAGCAAAGACAAAGAGAACAAGAAGCAGAAAGCGTCTCAGAAGCGGAAACTGCCGGGAGAGGATGGGGCTGTTGGGCAGCCCAAGGAGAAGAAGCGGAAAGGGCAAGCTAATGAAGAAGTACCCAAAAAGAAAAAGAAGAAAGCAGCTGGCGACCTGGAGAAGCTGCCAGGCAGCAAGGAAAAGAAAAAATCAGCTAAAAGTAAGCATCCCTCACTTGGAGCTGCATTTGCAATAGGTTCTTGCAGCTGATGCATGTTCAGCCTCTGGTGTGGGGCCTGGTAAGTAGCACCCACTTGCCCGTTAGCTTCCTGCTTGGCTCCTTCCCTCTTGGCCCACCCAAAGCCAATGCCAGATTATTAACACCGCACTTCAGTGTTTTCTGTGCAGCCTCAGCACCAGGTCCTGTTGCAGACAGCAAGCTGGGCTCTCCTGCCCCTCTGTCCTGTGTCTGGCACAGTGGGAACTGCGTTAACACTCGTGCTGATCCTTCTTGCTTGCAGAGCAAGTTGGTGTCCCTGTGCATCTTCTGTGGCATAACCTGTCCCTCCAGGGCTTTCTCCTTTCGTGGTCTTTATCCTGGCTGGAAGCAGCCGTGTGGCTGGGGGCTGGCAAAGAGTTGAAGTGAGTCTGCACTGAACCTCCTGAGGCCTTTTTGCCCCCTCATGTGGTCTGGCCACCTGTGCTGGGCTTGGGAGGGTTCTTCCTTGTAAGCCACGAGGCCTGTGGTGCCTTGCTCTGTGTCGGCAACGCAGAACAGCTCTGCTGGCCCAGCTGGCTGCTCTGTGGCGAACAGCGCACGAGCTAGCAGAGAGATGAGGTGAAATGTGCCTGGGGGATGGCGGGCAGAAGGTCCCTGACGTGCTGTGGGCCTGGCAGAGGAAGCCCAGCATTCCCACGTGGAGGGCTTTGTGTTCGCCAGAGCTCCCTGCACGGCCCCTTGCTGCCAGCCTCTTTAAAAGAGGTCCGCCTTGAAATCTGCGCTGTCGTCTGCCACGTCAGCCGCGGCTGTTCCCTGTGGGGTGACCGTGCCCCTTCCTGACCCTGCCTGATCAGGGGCCGTGCTGCAACATGGTGAGCAGCTCGTTCAAGAGGTTTGACTCAGAGCTATTACTGCTGCTGTCAAACCCCTGGAGAAAGAGGGGGGATGGTACCGGCTCCTGCTCGTTGCTCCCAATTAAGAGCATTCCCTGCCCCTCTTGTCTGCAGCCTCTGTAATGCTCTGTGTGCTGCCCTAATGCAAAGGCAATTTCATTTCTTTGCAGCGCAGACTTCATCTGCAAATCAGAGCTGGTTCTGGGCTGGATCTTGTAGGCTTTTTTTTTTTTTAAGACTTAAAAAAGAGGAGGTGGAACGGGTGGACTAGATCTGCTGGTGTTCCTGTTCTGCAGAGATGAAGCCCTTCATTTTGGAGGAGGCAGACTTGTCCGCCAGCCCTTGTGCGAGCTGTGGCGCAGGAGTGAGCTGGAGCCTCTTGGAGCAGTTGGGCTGAGCCGAACCTTGTGTCCATCCTGTGTTAGTAGCTTCCCTTGCTGTGCCCAGCTGCTCCAGCGGTTCCTCAGAGCGGGTGGGCAGCAGGGGGTGGAGTGAAGGGCATCCTGTGTAACTGCCCACACGTGTGCGTGGATGGTGGGATCAAACTGCTCTGGCTCAGAGGTACTAGAGGAACAGCCCTGGGCGCAGCTGCCTGGTCGCAGGGCTCTCCCCTCACCCCGTTGCTGCTGGGAAGCTTGCTCAGGTTCAGATGCGATCCAAAACTCACTGGAGATGCTCCTACCTCTCTCTGTTCCATCTCGGGGGCTAGCAATACCAGAGTCCCTCTCTTAGGTGACTTTTCTTTTCCTTTCCCAGAAAAAAAGACTGGAAAGGAAAAGAAGAAGAGCAAAAAGATGTCTTCAGAAGGGGAGCCTGCAGCAGATGGCTCTGCTGAGGTTCACAAGAAGAAGAAGAAGGTACGTGCAAGACCCTGGGATGGGGTACCATGGGGAGGGCTGTTCCGAACCGCGGTTGTGATGCTCATGCCTGCAGCGTGCCAGGCTGGAGAGGGACAGAGCTGCGTCCTGGCCTTGCTGGCAGTACAGAGGAGGCTGCAGGGAATTGGGGCTAGTCTTGAGACACCCTGACCTTTGGCTGGGTGGGATTGGGGTGTCTCAAAGAAGGGCTTGTTCCTGTATCACACACACACACACCCCAGGAGAGATCCCTTTCGTTGGAAGGGTCAAATCCAGGGGCCCTTTTGGTGGCAGAGAACCTGCCCAAGGAGTAAGTGCTCTTCTTTAGCTGTCTGTTCATCTGGTTATTTTCAGCAGAAACAGGAAGCTCCTGGGGGCTTGGCAGGCTACTGCATCCCATCCCAAGGGCTAGGAAGTGGGGCAGAGGGAAACTATAGGATGTTCCTTGTAATGAGTATGTCCCTATAGAGATGGTAGTCAAGAAGCTTCTTTGGCTTTGCTGGGTTCTTCATGTTTGTGATCCAGATGATTTATTTTTCACCCTTTTCTTTTTAGAAGAAGAAAACAGCTGAGCCTGAAGGATTGTGAGAAGGTACATGGCCTGTGGGGACTATCCGTTGGTGCCTCCGAACGGCGGTAACCTTGGCCAAATTCAGTACTCCTGGGCAAGTCTTGGGAAGACAGTGTGCCCTCTAACCGCTCACTGAGTCAGCCTGGCCTTAGGTTAGAGGGCCAGGGAGCGGAGCGGTGTGAGGAAAGTCATGCAGCAGCGTGCTGGCTTCTCTGGATGTGTTTGACCTCAACTCTTTAGCTGCTGAGAACTGGATGTCCAGCCTGAACATGTCTGTCCTCTGTCATCAGCAGAGATAAGCGGCCTCTGGCAGTGTCTGTCTGTCCCTGCTGACCACAGGGAGCTTGGAAAAGTGATGTGGATTAGATGGTGATGTTGTAGCCACCTGGAAGTGGACCAGATGACTCTGCCCTTGCTCTGCTCAGCTGTAAGGCTGTTATCCTCCTCCCCACCCCTAACTCTTTTAACTCCTCTCCCCAAAGGTACCGCATCCCTGTGATTAAGGATTTATGGGTGAAGATCAAACAGAAGAGAGGAAAAGGAAGCTCATCAGGAGAATTCCATTTTTTTTTTTAAACAATAATTTATAACTTCTTTTAACTGTGACTTTTAGAGCAGAGCAGTGTAACTTTCTGCCTTCTCCTGCCCTGCTGGGGTCCAGAGACGTGTTTGTTGCCCCTCCTGATGGTTTGCCTGTTGCACAAGAACTGAACTGAAGGAGGCAGTTTGACCAGAGAAGAGCCAGCTTGCATAAACTGCTTTCCTCCTAGTTGACACCCAGCCATCTCTTTCTCTTTCTCATCACAGAGCTATATTTTTAAGAGAAACTTTTACCTTTTTTTTTTTTTTTTTTCTCCTTCCCCTTTCTGTGATTTGTGGTGTCAGTCCTTTTGCTACTATGGAAGAGAGCTCTTGGGTTTACTTTTTATTCTAACACTGACAGCAGTGGTTATTGTGTTCCTGGAGTTGCACTGAACAGCTGTGTCCAGCAGCTGTTCTCGGCCAAGGCGGTGTAATTTTTTGTGGGTGATTTTTTTATGGAATACAAAATTAAAAAAAAAAAAAAAGGGGGTGAAGATTTGCTTCAGCTGCTTTCAAGGGAAGGGAAGTGACCAAGGCCAGGCTGGGGAGGCCAGGCAGGCGCTGGGGCCGAGCGTGGGGCAGGGCTCTGCAGTCTCTGGAGGACGTGGCAGGTAGGAGAGCAGAGCCCCGCGCTTGCCGGGGTTCACGGGCACTACTTCAGCCCCTGGGGAAGAGCTGTTTGCTTTCTGCCTGCTCCCCGAGGACAAGCTGTTGCTCCTCAGCTTTGAACCACGTGTTCTTCTAGCGATGGTTTGTGGGCTTGGGGTTTTTTTTGGTATTACTGAAGTGCTGTGTAGGGGCAGGGGGGGAGCGCAGGTTTGTTCCTCGCCCTGCGCCGAGCCAGCCTGCCGCCCCGCTGGCAGCAGCTACCCTGCGCCTCGTCCTGGGCTTCTGCTCTCGTGTCTGGTGTCCTCGCTTCCCTCCCAGCCCTGGGGTTTAGGAGGTGAGAGAAAAAGGGCGTCTTTGTAGAGATTTTTCTTTTTCCCTTTTTTCTTCAGATTCATTTTTAACCTAGAACAGCAAGCATTGACCTAGAGTTGCTTACAAGGCTTTCTTATTGAAAAGTTTATTTGAAATCATTAGCTTGTGAGGTTATTTATAAAGGAACTGTCAGATATATTCAGAAAAAGTAGAAGCCCCTCTGACTCCAGGGTCAGCTCCTCTGCCCGCTGTTACCCACTGCTGCGGCTGTTCTCCAGCCCAAAGGCGAACCTCTATCTACAACACTGAGCACTCCACAATAAAACCCCTCTACTCTAACAGGGCTTCAGCCTACAAGGGTCAGTTAAGGAGCTGGTGGAGGTTGTTTTGCTGCTTTAAATGTTCATTCAGTGTAAGAAAGCGTTAGCGGCTCGTTCTTCAGCAGGGGTGAGCTCTGCGCCTGCTGCTGCCTGAGTGCTGGGGGATGCTGGTGGGCAAAAGGGAACGGGATTTTAGGGGTCTGACATTACTGAAATCATTTTCCAGCCTGCTTTACCCACCCTCTGAGGGAAAACTTTGTCTCTAGCACTGATCCTGGTGGCAGCTCAGCCCCATCTGGTGCCCTGCAGCAGGGGAAAGGTTGTGATCGCTGCCCCGAGGGGCAGGGGTGCCTGCTGTTAAATCACATTGGAAAAGCAAATGTAAAAGCAGAAATGAAACAGAGAGGGGGAAAAAAATAACAATAAAAAACCCAAACGTAGGAGCTGGGATGCTGAAGAGGGGACAGGCGTCCGCTGGCATCTTCTACTCAGCTGCGGTGGGGGAAAGAGAGGTGGGAGTCAGTATGATGGCTGCAGGCCCTCCCCGAGCCCGGGCTGCTTTTGCCATGTCTCCATCACAACCTCTGCCTCCCCAGCAGTGCTTTGGTGCTGCCCTGGCTCTTGGGGGTGGCCCTGTACCTCCCCCAGCCCCCCCCAGGCTTTCCCCTTCCCAGGCTTTCCCCTTCCCAGTCCCACCGCAGTGCTCGGACTCCCACCTTTCTCCATGCCCAGCTTGAGCATGTCCACCCCGGAGAAGATCATCTCCTCCGGCTCCATGGTGGCAGCAACAGCGCCTGCAGAGGGAGGGCAGGAGGTGGGTGCTGGACCCCTGGGGCTGCCCCATCGCCCCCACCCCCCTGAGGACAGCGGGGGTGAGCCTGCACCTACCCACCAAGCTGCATGTTTCGGGGCAAGGGGGGGCTCATGGAAAACCTCGTCTGTGTGCCTCGGCTCTAGCTGCTGTTACCCAAGGAGGGCTGTGGTTTTTAGGGTCCCCTCCAGCCTTCACACGCTGCCACCAAAGAGGGGTGAGGGATGTTCTCTACAGCTCGGGCACCCTCCTCTCCTCTACCTGGCACCTCTCCTCCCTGATCGCGAGCAAAACGGGGCGGGGGTGGCATCCATGCATACTGCTCGTTCCTCTCCTCCTTCCCCTCTCCCGTGACCTACCGGGGCAGTCCAGCTTTTCCCGAGTGACAGTGCCCTCAATCCTGGTGCCATTTTTGTAGGAGCACCAGCAGTAGCCCGTGGAGGCACTGCACTGCTTGGGCAGGTAGTCGCCGTTCTCATCGCACTGTGGGCGAAAGTGTCCTGGCCGCACACCCCCAGAATTGGCCTCCGCCTGGCATTTAGTTTGCACTAGGGCAATAAAAAAAAAGGGGAGACACTGTGAGGCCCCCCCCCC